AAGTAGATAATGAACAAAATAATCTTTCTTTTATATGTTATTTCTTTTGGGGGCACTTATAATGTTAAATTTTTGTGTCCTTTGACATTGACAATGTCCTTTTTTTTTTTCCTTTTTGACACAGGATTTCACTATAAATTTAGGCTGGACTTGAATTCACTTTGTAACCTGATATGGCCTCGAACTCACAGCAATCCTTATGCCTCAGTTTCTGAGTTCTAGGGTTACAGGTAGGTTCCATCATGCCTGGCTTCCTTTAACATTGCAATGAATTATATGAAATAAATTATATTTTTTAAATTCTTGCTATTGGCATTTCTAATGGCTATCTATGTAGCGCAGGATTTAAGTTGGTAGCACTTATTTATGATCTATTAAACTACATAACTATGTACTAGCCCTATTTCTGTTTTTATTTTGCCTGATTTTAAAAGCGAGAACTAAACTATGCATTGGTGATGATCTCCATTTCCCTCCCTCCATGTTCCCTGCCCTCATTCCAATCTGCTATTTCTTTCAGCTCGTGCAGAGTAAGCTATGCTTGCTTATATTATCAGCCACCCCCACACTTCCTGCCAAATTCAGTGGTTAAGACTCCATTCTTCCTCACTAACATTCAGCAACCTTTCAGGCAGAAAATGAATTCTGCTATCTTGATATTCTGTCTTCACTTGGCATTGGACATAAAACTCTTTCATGTTTTCCTTCTCCCTCACAGGTTGTCTCTTTCCAAATGTCTGTTCTGGATCATCTGACTGTTCCTTATGTCCAATATGAAACATTTCTAAAATTCAGTGCTTAAATCCTTATTTCTGTATGGCATACTTCCTTTTCTAAAGAAGTTTCTTTACCATTTTTTGTGGATCAGACACTTGGCCACAGAGTTCTCTGAGATTGTGTTGGCCTGAAAGGGTTGTGCATTTTATCATCACTTTGAAGTATATTTCTGTTAGATACAAAATTCTAGATTGCCTTTTTTCTTACTGTTAAAAATATTACTCCATTGTTTTCTGAATTGCATAATTTTCTACTGCTTTACTTGTCTTTGTTCCTCTGCATTAATTTCCCCTTTTTATGTTTATGGATTTTGTATTTATATTTGGTGTCTAACTGCTTTACCATGGATTTGTTTGATGTTTATTATGTGTTGGCTTCTTTGGGTTCCTTGAAATTATATTTTGATATCTTTCATTATTTTAGGAACACTTTTATCCATTGTTTCTTCAAATATTTCTTCTATCCACTCTTTGCTTTCTCTTAGGATTTCACTTACAGATATACTGAATAACCAAATATCATCCAAGAGCTCTTGAATGGGTCTTTTTGTTTCATGAGTAGTATTCTCTTTGGATTTCAGCTTAATTGTTTAAAAATTAACTTATTTCTAGTTCATTTGGTTTTTTTTTGTTTGTGGTAAATCTACTGATGAATCCATGAAAAATATTCAACTCTGGTGTTATATGTGTATGTTTTTATACCACTTCCACTTATTTCTTTCTCATTTTTCTGCTGAAATTTCTCAAGTATTTATTCATATTTTCTGGTAAGGCCTCTGGTAGACTATTCACAGTTATTTTAAATCCCATCCCAGATAATCCCAGCATTTGATTCATGCCTGAATCTAGTTATAGTCTCTGTTTTATCTCTTGATGATGAGTTGTTTTTGTTTCATTTCATTGTCTTATAATTTTTTAACCAAACACTGTAAATGATGTAGTAGAGTCTGAAGTCAGCTGTACCTATCGCTGCAAATGGTCACACCTCTTTTCACACAAAGATTGGTGTGAATAATTGACTTATTCTAATCAGGAGTTGTGCACTCATTACATGTTGTGGTTGCTATCACTGCCTTGAGATTATCAAAGCACTTTGTTGTTGTCTCATAACTAAAGCAGGGCCTGGCACACTGGAGAGCTTTATAGGTATTTCTTCTTCACCCTGTTTTAGCTTTTAAAGATCCCTGCGTGTCTGAGCCATGGAGATGATTCTTCCCAGGCTTCTCCTTTGTTCTGTAAGTAATCCATGCTTGGTTGTTCGTTACTCAGTATGAGGTTAATGTTAGGGGATCTTTTGTTGGTCTAAGCGAGTCTCAGATCCAATCTCACTCTTTATGGTTCCAACTCTGAAATTTCGTGCTTGTGTAACGCTTTTCTTCCGTCCTCTCCATAAAAGAGTGTATTTATTGTCAGGTTGGGGGAGAGAAAGAATTCCTTGTCCTTTCCTGATTGATAATTGACTTCTGCTTCACATGGGTGTAGGATTCTAACACAGGAATAAGATCCTACTATTATTCTATAAGTGGAAGATTTTTCTTACATCTTTTTCCAAGCAGCAGGGTTTTTTTTTTCCAAAATACTAATGTGTCCTATGGTTTGGAAGTTTTTATATTTCTTCCCAAGAAAGAGACAGATTCTTTTTTCATCTATCCATACCCTAGAATCACTCATTCTTTGCCTATGGCCTCAGTAAAGATATTTGCTGCCTTCTTCCAGCAGCCATGGGTTAGATTCTGATGAAGTACTGTGTTGATAATTGAAAGATATGCTCCTCATATTGGTTGTATGTTTGCTTATTTTTTCAGAGCACCATTACTGGTGCCATTACTTTATAGCCTAATTTAAAGTTTCCTATAATCAAATGACTGAAAATGTAATCCAAATAAGACTGTTTTAATGATTTAGAACCTATTTGTTTTGCAAATTCCACAACACTGCACAAACTGAAGTTATAAAGACCCTAACTGTGGTATCGTGTAGATCCCAAGACCTCACCAATTTTTAGTCTCTTGGTCTTGCCTTCTTTTCCATCTGGATGATGGCTTTGTGCTGTTGTCTCTGGAAAATCTCATTCTATGATGGATATCCCACACTATACACACATGCAAACCTGTTAAAGTACCTCTAAAAGCTTGTTATTTGTGATAACTTTCTGTGGCAGTGAATCTTGATTGCCAATTTATGTGACCTGACAAAAACCTGGGAGATTATTAAACCACAGTTTTGGTATGTCTGCCTGGGTCTTGTTATACTGTATCTGGCTGATGGCTCCTTTCTCTCGTGCTCTTTCCCTTGTTCTGCGTCCTGGCCTTCATGAAGTAGGCAGCTTTTCTCCGCACCTTTCCACCATAATGTTCTTGCCTTTGATCAACTGACCATGGACTCAAACCTCTAAAACCATGAGCCAAAATAAGCCGTTTTCTCCTTTAAATTGTGTAGGTCAGGTGATTTTTCACCAGCAATGGGAGAGCTGACCAATGTACCTTGCAATCATGTTTTTCTTTATCATGTTTGTAATTCTTTTTTAAAAAATTTTATTTCAAGAGAAAAAACAGAAAAGGATAGAAATAATACATAATTTCAAAAAATAAACTAAGAAATCACTAGTTGATAAATTACATATTGTTCTCTTAGAAATAGTTGTTCAAGTTACAATATTAAAGCATACAAAGTAGACACTCAAAGAGTGAGACTGCAAACAGTTCTGTTCAATTATCCAATAAAAGCTTATTAATATAGTTATCAACCTTACACACTTAAACATACATGCAGTTCTATCTTTTAGAGTACTTTCTTTTCTCTTTTTTTTACAATAGCAATTACACATTTTTGGGTTTTGTTACTCCTACAGTTCCTACTACGTTTTACACTAGAGACACAATGTGATATTTATAAACAGGATTCTTATTTATTTCACTTATGAAGATAGTTTCAAATTGTCTCCATTTACCTATGAAGGCCTCCAGGTCATCCTTTTTATTGCTGAGTAGTATTCCATTGTATTAAAAATACTACATCTTTTTCATCCACTCTGCGGTTGATGGGCATCTTGGTTGCTTCCAAGATTTAGCTATGACAAATTGTGATGCTATGAACATGGGTGCACATATATCACTGTGACAAGACCTTTTTAGTTTTTCTGGGAAAATACCTAGGAGAGGAATAGCTGGTTTGAATGGAACTTCCAATCCTAGTCTTCTGGGAATTCTCCATAGTGATTGTACCAGTCTCCACTCTCACCAACAGTGGAGCAGTGTTCCTTTTTCCCCCGCAGCCTCGCCAACATTTGTCACCAGTTGATTTCTTGATGGCAGCCATTCTTTCCAGAGTGAGATGAAATCTCAATGCTGTTTTAATTTGCATTTCTCAAATGATCAGTGATAGTGAACATTTCTTCATGTATTTATTTCCCAATGTATATCTTTATCTGAGAACTGTGTGTTCATCTCAGATGCCCATTTTTGGAGAGGGTCTTTGCATTTGGGAGGCTTGTATTACCTCTGCTGGCCACGTTTGTAATTCTTAAACACACTACAGATGGCAATGAGGGCAAGGTGATTTTGAGTGATGATGAAGGCACTCATATGGACATCTGCTGCATTAGTAAAATAATCAATTAATGCTGGATATCTTTAAATAGTTGGGACTCAGAATTTAGAATACTTACATTTTAGATTAGCATGGTATTGCTAGGTTATATTGTATCATCTATTTTTCATAATCTTCAGCTATGCCTCATTAACGTACACAATCTAGTATTATAGTGTCACAATTGACTTTTGGGGACAGAGACACTGAGATGCCAGTGAAAATGATGACCATGTCTGCCTGAGTCCTCTACTAGGGAGATGATGGTTGTTCATCCTGAGCAGAAAAAGAAAAAGGATTGTACCTCGCTGGAACAAAGATGAACCACCTCTCAACAGGCCGTGGTGTGAAGTGCTTCCTGAATTTTGGCTTTGTGCTATTGTCTCCAGAAAATCTCATTCTATGATGGTTACCCCATGGCATACACACATGCATGGCATGGTGATATGGAACATTCTGAGAAAAGTATCTGTCTCTGTTCCTGAGTTTTGGCAGCTACGTGACTCATGAATGCAGAGGTGGCAGATGGAGGTCAGCCTCTAAACCCAGTTGGAAGAGTATGCTCTGCAAATGGCTAGCACGCCTCATACTCAGTTATGCCGTTAAGATGCTGTCAGTATAGCCTGTTCTTGGAAAGATATCAAGACTCCAACCTTTGGGTTGAGCTAGCCAAAATGTTACTTAAAATGAATAAATTTAAAGCAATTTAAATCCTTGTCTCTTCCAGGACTCAGGAAACAGCTGTCCTCCTGAACAGATGCTCCAAACCGCAAGTCATGTGCCAGGCCTCATTTGTGGCAGCTTCTTACCAGAAGGCCCCTCAGAGTAGGGGCACAGAGCCCTGGGGATGGTGACACAGGGAGAGGCCCTTGAGGAGGAGGACCGGTGCTCTCTAGATGGAAAGGCAGCCTCGTGTCACCAGGATAAAGGTTGGAATAATTTACTCTTGCTTGCCAATATGAACTCACAAAATAATGAAGGCAGAAAAGACAAAAGAGGAGTGCCAGCAGGGAAGGGTACCACACAGAGAAAGAAAACAGCCTCTCTGGCATTCAGAGCCCGTCTCTTTCTTTAGGGAGCTAGCCTTGGGGACAACTGGGAAAGGCGTAGCTCAAGTGTGTAGAATATACCTGGTGAGGCATGAGCTCCACCTTATAGGGGCCAAATTTAAACAAATGGCTGCCAGATGTAAAAGTGACGTTCCCACCAGCGGAGCTCATGCCTCAACATTATTGCCGAAAGCTTTGGGCACTGGTCCATGTATACCTTGCCGATGTGGATTTTTATGGCTTGGGAAACCATTCCTCCTACATTAGGCCTCAGAACAGCCTGGGCAGATTGTCAACGGAAAATTTTAGCTGAAGCCAAAGATCTTCTCCATCAGTTGGGGATGTTGGAGTGGGCTTATCAGGCAACAGCAGATGGTGTGTAGTGCGATGACTTGGAAAGTCTGGAGAACGTAGAAAAGAGTCCTGAGTCCATCCAGTTGTTTCTCAGGGGTGAGGGAATGAAGCTCATGAAATATATAAGTTCTTTTTACTGACAATGATGGTGAATCTTAAAACTATCCATGAGCAACGCATGCCCTGGATTAAAAGATGCTCATATAGCGTTGTTCCAGGAATTATCCACAAACAATAAAGAAATGTCCCAAGTACTGGAACTCATGACAGAATCTTGTTCTTTGATTGGCTAAAGAAACCACAGCCTAGGGGCTGGGGATTTAGCTCAGCGGCATAAGCGCCTGCCTTGCAAGCAGGTGGTCATGAGTTCGATCCCCGGTACCGATAAAAAGTTGAAAAAAATAAAAACTGAAAAAAAAAAAAAGAAACCACAGCCTGTGTACTTGCTAAAATGTTTGGCTGAACAGGATACTCACCAATTCCCCTTTCTCCCAAGTGTTGCCTAGTAGGTGTCACTTCCCCTCTGCACTGTCTCTGGGAGGTCTCACGCTCTGAGAGAATTCCCCTCATTAGGAAAGCCCGCTGAAGGGCTTCCTGAGGGAAAGTTAGAGGAGGAGTTGCCATATTTGGATCATATCATCTTCCTTGATTACCTCCCAAATCCCCAAACTCACTGCAAGGAAAAAGTTCTGGGGAAGCAGATAGAACTTCCCACTCTTCCTCCTCCTTACCCAACTGTCCTCTCCTAACACCCTAAGATGATAAAGACCACAAGAAAATAAGATTATGGGGAACTTGAGAATGCCAAGTTTTACCCATCTTACATGGTGGCAAGAGATAGAATGAAGTTGCTTTTAATTACTTACCGTGGATTGGGCTTCAGTTCAGTGCTGGATGGTGATCAACGTACACTCTGGGTTCCCTGCTCTAACCTTTCCCTGTGCTGCTTTGCTGGATGTAAGCACCATGACCTGTTCATGGGATGCCTCAGTATTCTCCTTTGCGATCTTGCTGCATCTCAGATGTTCCTCTTGCTTCACATCTATTTTCCACATGACAGGCTGACATTGCTTAGGAAATAATTTCATGTTGCTGCTAAATTGCTTCAAAGGTTTCTTGTCACATGTTATAAGAGCTTCAAAGCCTTTACCATTTTTTCCTCCCACGTTGTCTTCTATCATTTTTCTCCTTTGCCCTTACTACTGCTATTACATTCCTTCTTGCTTTTCTTAGTACATCAGTCATATTCTTGTCTTAAGGCCTTAGCAATGCTGTTCTCTTTCCTAGGCATTTCTGTGTCCTTCCCCAGCATCCTGTGTTCAGTAACCCTCCTCCTGCCCTGTACCAGCCTACTTCATTTGTTTTCATACCACTTTATGCAGACAGCATGTCTTTATTTCTTCCTTATCTTGCATGAGAGTGTACACATGGAAAGGTCTTGGTTTTATTTCCTGTGCCTAAGAAGCCTGACACGGGGTAAGCGTTCTGAGTGTGTTGTGGACTAATGAGTCAGGACTCACAATCAATATTTAATAAAGGCAAGTGTTACTTTCAGAGAAGGAACTTTATAATGTGAGAATCTGCCATTTTATCAATGCATTTACCATTATTATAAGTCTATGATTAAAATCAAATCAGATTTTCTATGTTTGGCATGGAGTGCAAGAGTGATAATTTCTGAGTATCATAGTGCATTTGATCATTTCTGTTGCTCTGCTGAACATTTCTGGAGCTAAATGAATGCTTGGTTCCAACAGGAACTGGTGAATGACCACAGTTTTACTCCTTTTCCCTGTCAGAATGTCTAGCTGGAGCTGGAGCAGCCATCTAGTTATTAAGTTTTGCTTCTTCTGTCTCCTGATTTAACCTCTGAACTTGATTTGTATTTGTATTTAGAACTATCTAAAAATTGTACAGTAATTTTAGAAAATGTTTCTGAGCATTTACATATTTCACGCTGAAACTATCTTGAGATCCTGCCCTCGTGCACACAGTTTATTTTTAATAGTCTCTGCATTCGCTTGCTGTTTCCCATCATTACTGAAGGGGAACATGCCCTTAAACTATAGATCCAGGAAGGCAGAAATGAAAGCAGTGTAATTGGTTTTCAGGTTAACAAAATTGTCTTTAATTTACTATCGGCATCTTGGCTTTCATTTAATGAATATTAATTTTAGATTTTACTTGAGCTGAATAAAAGGAGGAACTTTGCAATCAAGACAGAATGTAAAAATTCATAAAGTTTCAAGACACTTCTCTTCAGTTACTTCTTCAGTAATGTCCATAAGGCTCAGTGACATCTCCATAAGAACCTGTTGTTGTAATTCCCCCTAGGTGGTTACAGTTATCTGCAACAAGATTGTCAAAGCTTTAATTTACCCAAGATGCCTTTTAAATCTGTGGTTATAACTTCATTTTATTTGATTATCTTACATAAATAAACAATAAGGCAGTCCCCATATCTCCCATATGTCTTATAGTTCGATTTTGTCTGAAAAAAATTGCAAATACTATCAGTATACTCCTGTTCAGGCACTAGGTATTTTTCTGTGATATTGTTTATTATGTTTGTTTATTTTCAGTACCAAAACCAGAACCCAAGTGTGCTATCTCATGGAACTATATTCCCAGCCCTCTTTGTTTTTTGAGACAAGATCTTGCTAAGTTTTCCAGGATGCAGTATAATTTGGAATCTTCCTGCCTTCACCTTTCTCAGTGCTGGGATTGCAGACGTGTATATAGCATGTTACTGCTTTTCTCAACACTAATGGCAAGTAGCAAAGGAATGTGTGCTTGTGATTTCTTAATTATTTGATGTTTATACCACTTTCATGTCACTCAATGTCAAGTGCATGACAGTGGTTAAAAATATTTTCCATTTTATAAATAACCTTTTTTCAATGAAATTCATTGTGGTTGGTTAAGGGGGATCCAAAAATCACTCATCAGGAAGCAAAACAGAGACATAATAGAAATCATTACCAGTCTTTTGAGATATCAAACTTTTAAAGGTTGAAAATTGTTGGGTAGTTATATCAGTCCTGTGGATGACCTGCTTAGGTAATTTTTCATTTTCTAGAATCAGAATTATCAGAAAAATCTTTCTAAAACATTCCTATAATATTCACTGTTAAATCTGATAATTTAAAAAAAGTTGGGATACCCTTATTGTCTTCAAAATTTTCTGTCTTCAAAATATTTGGAAAATAATGCTACCTTGTTTTAAATTAAAATTGTTTTAACTCAAAACAATTGTTGCTTTAAATAAAAATAATTTACTAAACTAAGTAACAATGAAGAAAGTACTTTAATTGACATGTTAAAAGTGGAAACATATAAAATGACCAGTTAAAACCACAAAAGGTAGAAGACAAAAATAGGAAAAAAGAAACAATAACAACAGTAAGAATATATAGGTAAGTATTAACTACATTATGTTGATAATTACTGTGAATGTCAGTGGTCTAAATGTACCCATTTATAGACAGAAGTGTTGAAGTGAAAAAGAGACCCAATCACATATTGTCTACAAGATATCAACTTTAAATAAAGCATATGTAGTTTAAAAATAAAACAATAGCTTTATACCATGTTAGTTAAAAGAAAATGCACATACCTATACAAAGGATAGACATAACAACAGATTTCTAGAAAAAAGAAAGTTATTAAGGATAAAGAAGTTCATTGCACAGTGACAAGTAGCTGCTTTTCTCATTTGTATCAATCCTTAATGCAAATGTACATACCAGCAAAATATTAAAATACACCAGGCAAGAGCTGATGTGATCAAAAGGAAGAATGGATGAATCTACTGCTATACTCCAATTCTTCCACATTCTCGAATGATGAATAGATCCAGCAGGCAGAAAATAGTAAATATATAGTTGAACTCAACAATACCATCAATCAACTGGATATAATTGACATGAATAAACTACTTCAGCCAGCAACAACAGCAGAATATAATTCTTCTCGAGATCACATGGAACATTTACCAGCATAGACCACATTGGGCCATCACCTTAAGAAATTTCAAAAGACAGAAATTATGCAATGTATGCTCAAACTATAAGGGAATTAAACTAGAAATGAGTAACAAAATAGATAGCTAGAAAATTCCAAAATACCTGGAGATTAAATGCCCTAGTGAATAACACATGGATTAGTAAAGAAATCTCAAGAAAACCTTAACAATATTTTGAACTAAATGAAAACATAACTTAAGAAAATTTGTGGGATTTAGTAGAAACAATTCTTAGGGGGGAATTTGTAGGAAAGAATACCTAAAACCATTAATCTAAGCTTTCATTTTAGAAAAGTAAAGAAGAACAAATTAAGCCCAAAGAAAGCAGAAATAAATAAATGATAAAATCTTAGTGCAGAAATCTGTGAAAGTGACAATAAGAAATCAATAGAGAATATCAATAAAACCAAATTCTATCTGTCTGAAAATGTCATTAAGACTGCTCTCCAGCCAGTAAATCAAGAAAAAAGAGAGGACACTAATTAATAATGGGGGAGATGAA